TGCAAAGGAGATTCTGTGGAACAAAGTCCTCAGCTTCACTAGAACTTCTGTGTATCTCCATCTTAATTTTCAGGTCACCATTCCTTCCCAGTCAATGCTCCAACTTTAACAGAGAGACTCTATAAGGTTCAGAACTCAGTTTGTATTGTGGTACAGCTACCTACAAGATTAAACACTGATTTGTTTTTCAGAAATCGCATCTTTTTAAAGTGTATCGATTTCTTCCATGAGAGAAAGGCATGCCACAGTCCATCCCCAGCCTCAGCCAGCCAGGATCATGGTGCATGTGCACACACGTGCTCAGTGTGTGTAAGGAGACCTTGGGATATAAACCCTAGACCTTCCATGTGACTAAAGTATTGCTGAATGTTACAGTACTGTTGTGGCATCGTGACTGGCCCAAAAGTCTCATCTTTGTGACTATGGAAGAAAAGAGTTTCTTTTACATTGTTACAGAATCTTTCTGGTCCTTCACCTGATCCTTTAACTTGAAATCGAAAGTCTTGGATTTACCTTTGTATTTCTTCCAGAAATGCAATTTATGGGCCCCACTCTAGAATCAGAGACTCAGGGAGTGAGGCCCAAGAGTCTAATTTTACAAATATTTCAGGTGATTTTCATCAACTTTGAGAACCACAGACATAGAATAACACTTTCTCAATTGTCAGAGAAAATGATTTTCAACTGAGAAGTCTAAACCAAGATAATTAATCTGGACAGAATAAAGACTTATTCAAACATTCAGAGACTTGAAATTTGCCTCCCTTGCGTTTTTTCTTCAAAAGCCATTGAGTGAATTGTTCCTGGGGAAAAAAAGATGTAAATAAAGGAAGCAGAGAAGTGAAAACAAAGCAGGAAGGAAATATGGATGCCAGGAGTCCAAGACAGAGCAAGATTTCCAGATGACAGTAAGGAGGTACCTATGCTGACCTCTGTGTGCAGACCCAGAAAGTGACTGCTCCAGGGAAGAACAGGAGGACAAAAACTATGTCTCCAAGTTAAAAATGTAGTTGATAAGTTTCACCTTTTAATGTATTGTTTGGTATGAAATTTATCTGGTAGGCTGGTAAAAAAAATTATGAAGAGTTATTTTTAAAAAATCATAAAAAAGTTAATTACCCATTCCAAGAAACCTCATATTTAACAAAAAAGGAAACTATTATACTATTGGCTTATCAGCAAATATATCATTTACATAAATAAACTAATGTCAACTTTAACTTCTCCTGAATTCAAAATTTTAAAACATAGATGCTAGTAGTATAAAGCGAAGAGAAATATATTGGGAGGTGTTATAATAACATCTCCTCATATATTTTCTTAGGAAACCAGGAATTAATATATAAAATCGATGCATCAAAAGTAGTAATTTTTTCATGTTAGGTAGATATATAAAGAATAAACACTTGAGGGACCAGGAGATGACGTAATGGTTACCTCACTGGGATTCCTATGTAATTGACCATGGTTAAAGTCCTGCACCCGGTGGCTTAAAACTCACAGCAGGTGTGTATGTGTGTCCCCAAGATCCTAAGAGGATCATGTAGGAAAAGGGATTGTGGCATGGCCATCACCCTGGGGGTTGATTTCTCGCTTTCTGTTTCTCTGTCTCTGTGGTGAGTGCATTTGCCCTACAGCAAAAATCTCTCTTAAAAATAGAAAAATAAAAATAATGAACACTTGAAATAACCTTTACAGTACTTAAAAATGAGCACCTCTGAAAACAAGCATGGGATCATGAAGGACTGGGCAGGAATTGAATATTTTAAAACTCATTTGATTGTAAAATTAAGTGCATGTATCATAAATAAATACTAAAATAAGTAAAAACTATTCCTGACCTCACAAAATATGGTTTAAATGAAATTAATTACCCAAGTATTTATTGGGCCATGGGCAAAGCATGGTAATCATGTGGGACAATGAGATTAATACAGTCAATCTCTGAGACAAATTTATTTATGTCTCATATATACCTTGTTTACATAGCCTGAATATAATTTCATACATTTTTGTATTTCAGTGATTTGATTGTGATCCATCACATGAGGGTCAGGTGTAGAATTTTCTACTTGTGACATCATGGTGGTGCATATTTTTATATAACATGAAGATTTCTTTTTTAATCTTGGAAAATGTAGTAAGTATTTTTTAAACCAATGCCAAATAAAGATTTGCCATTTGTTAAATCTAGATTAGATTTACCTTTAGGATTGTTGTGCAAGTATTAGCAACCTAAGCTAATTATCTACTCTTCTGGTGCTGCTACTGTCCCATTTCCTTTGGAAATAAAAATGAAAGGATGCAACTTTCATTTAGTATTATACAAAATTCTAAGAAACTTAAGGTCATAGTGGTACTTTATGAGAAGTCCTGAGAGGGAAGATTCTTTTAATGTAGTTACTATGAGCATTCAAAAGCCACTGCTTTGCTTGCTCATTACAAAAAAAAAGGAAGGCCAGAGGATATGTACATTTCAGCGAGCCAGGAGTGCCATGAATGAAGAGCATAGCACAGCTACCCAGGTGAAGGCATTATCAAGTCTGCGCGTGCTGTTTCCTGACACTTTAAGTTCCAGTTCTTTTCCTTAATGTTGAACTACAAAATTGCTTTTATTTAATCCCCTCGTTTACGTTTAATCTATATGTCTTAGGGAAATTGACCATGTATATTTAATAGGCACTGATATGCTGATTAGAAACTCTGTGTTCACTGGCTGGGCTTGACAGTCGGTGGACTTCAGGATACAGGGTGACTGGCATCAAGCTGGCATTTTCCCTCAGGTACCATCCGATGTTAATATCAGTAGAGTTTTTCTTCTAGAGCTGTGCAGTTAATGGAAAAGATGAGCCCTTCAGTCTTCTGTGTGGGCAGCATATGCCTGGCGTCTAGCAGTCTGGAAAACAGCGTAGAGAAAGGAGTGAGAGTTTTAAGTTTGAACACCGGCTCACACCCTCTGCTTTCAGTCTTGCACTTCTATGTTCAGGTTTGGTGCTTGACAGATTCAGTTGTGCCACAGATTTGGGCTGCTGGAATGGGAACGTGTGCTTTCATGTGATTGTTCAGAGGAGAGGAGGCCTGGGTGTGGGAATAGGGTTCCAGTGGCTCAGATTTTCAGCCAGACGTCCAGTTTTCAGCCCCCAACTACTGTGGTAACTGGTATCCACAGTGTCTCTGGGGACCTACAGGGTGTTTCAGGTTCTTCAATGCATTTGAGGGTTCAAGGAAAATGTGAAAAACTGCATGGATTTTAAAATAGTTTATACCAAAGTAAGCTTGTATTTAAATTTCATTTTACTATGAGCTTCAAAAAAAAAAAAAACAAAAAACCAGGTGGTTTATTCCATGTGTGAATAAGTGAGAGAGAGTGAACGAACACCTCCAGTGGGTCCCCATGATGTGATTCACTCCCAACCTCAGTGAACCTTAGATCATAGTCAAGCATGTGCTCAGTGTAGTCAGGGAGTGAGTATGTGAGGATAAATAAAATGTAGTAGGGACAAAGAAATCAAGCTATAAAATTGAGAATAAGTAGTAAAATTGATATTTTGAACAAGGAAATCAGTATTCTCTTTATTCATAAAGGCAACCTTGGATAACAAAGAGAGGCTTATACAAAGATAGAAGTATGATAGAGAGCCCACGATTTGCCTACAGTGCTAGATTTTGGATCTCACAAGAAATGAATTATTGAAATTTTGGATATAACTCTTAAAATTAATGACTATTTCTAGGTCCAAATAATGTGCAAATTGCAATTTTGTTTTAAACATCCGTGCATTTATTTTTTTTTCTCCAATCTTTGAAGAGTTTACTAAAGCAATCTACCTAGAAACCCAAAGGAAGTTCTAACTAAAGAAGTTATTTCTCCAGTAAAGACCTATAGAAGGAAAAACCCATACCACAAACTGGGATAGAAATTTGGTAGATTAAGAAAGCCCCTCACAGAAGACGAAAGGGTTGCAGAAATTGTTAAGGAGTTGGAAATAAGGATAAGAAAAAGGTAATAAAAAATGTCTGAAACAAGATTCTAAATGTCTCTGTAAGTTTTCTGGAATAGATTCTTTATACTTGGATAATTTTTTTGCCATCTTCTTTAACTTTTTTATCTTTATTATTTGGTTAACATCTGTCAAGTTGCTAACACAAGACAGGTATGGTTTCAAGGAGAAGAAATAAACAAGATAAAAGAATAGATTTCAGAAAAGAAAGAGTGAAAATGGGCAGAATTAGGAGAAAAGAGACTATGGGAAACAGAGCTTTAGAAAAATAAGTTTTAGAAAGATGACAAAAACTTTTTACATGTGGGGTTTCTCTTTGTCATGATCCTCCTGACTCAGCTTCTTGAGTAAGTGGGACTATAGACATGTGCGGCCACACCTATCTTTTACTGTGGGCTGGGCCTCCTGTGTGGCTCAGCCCATTGAGTAGCAGCATCAGCCAACACTCACCACCATGGCTGAACCTTTTTCTCCTCTTGAAGGACTTCTCTAGTATGGTTACTGGTGTGATTTCTGGGAAGGAACACTTAAAAAACTACAAAGCTAGGAAACTGTTTCAGATCTTTATTGAAAATAATTATCTACTTATAAGGATATTAGAAATAAAGTGGGTAATTACTGTACGTTAAGTAGGAAACCGAGTTTAGGATACTTTGTTATCTAGTCTTGTGCTAATGTAAAAATGGAATATGAACCTGGACCAAAGGGCTGTTAATAAAAAAAAAAAAATTAGTATGTTCAGGAGAACTGCATAATAAAATCTGTTCATAGTGACTATAGAAAAACCATGTTACTGGAAATGCTTTTTATATGAAAGCCTTACTGTGGTTGACTAAAATTAAAATAATTGAACCACACTATTTTAGTGCTGACTAGGCTGGAGTTATTTTTAAAGGGTTATAAAGAGCAAAAGTGACTCTTGTGATGAAAGGTAAGAAGTTGAATGTATCAGCAAATCTCATTTGTCACTTACTTTTTGCATTTTGGGCTTCTTTTCAGGCAGAAGGACTCCTGCGGAAGATGGAACTCACTGTCCATTTTCCAGAATGTGTTTCCAAGCCCATCAATGGAACTTGATGTTACTGTTCTGTGTTGAAATGCTTAAAAAATTGCATCTCTGCCTGCATCTTCCACCTTTCTGAAACCATGGCCTTCTCGGCAGTGTTGACTGCATCCCATACTGGGGCATCTAACACAACATTTGTAGTCTATGAAAACACCTACATGAACATCACAGCCCCCCCACCATTCCAGCATCCTGGTGTTGGTCCACTGCTTAGATACAGTTTTGAAACCATGACTCCCACTGGCTCAAGTTTCTTGACAGTGAATAGCACATCTGTGTCCCCAACACCAGCAGTTTTTAAGAGCCTAAACTTGCCTCTCCAGATCATCCTTTCTGCTATAATGATATTTATTCTGTTTGTATCCTTTCTTGGGAACTTGGTTGTTTGCCTCATGGTTTACCAGAAAGCTGCCATGCGATCTGCAATTAACATCCTCCTTGCCAGCCTGGCTTTTGCTGACATGTTGCTTGCAGTGCTGAACATGCCCTTTGCTCTGGTAACCATTCTTACCACCAGATGGATTTTTGGGAAGTTCTTCTGTAGAGTATCTGCTATGTTTTTCTGGTTGTTTGTGATAGAAGGAGTAGCTATCCTGCTCATCATTAGCATCGACAGGTTCCTTATTATAGTCCAGAGGCAGGATAAGCTAAATCCATATAGGGCTAAAGTTCTGATTGCGGTTTCCTGGGCAGCTTCCTTTTGTGTAGCTTTTCCTCTGGCTGTAGGAAACCCTGACCTGCAGATACCATCACGAGCCCCCCAGTGTGTGTTTGGGTACACAACCAATCCAGGTTACCAGGCTTATGTGATTTTGATTTCTCTCATTTCTTTCTTCATTCCATTTCTGGTAATATTGTATTCATTTATGGGCATACTCAACACCCTTCGGCACAATGCCTTGAGGATCCATAGCTACCCCGAAGGTATATGCCTCAGCCAGGCCAGCAAACTGGGTCTCATGAGTCTCCAGCGACCCTTCCAGATGAGCGTCGACATGGGCTTTAAAACACGTGCCTTCACCACCATTTTAATTCTCTTCGCTGTCTTCATTGTCTGCTGGGCCCCGTTCACCACTTACAGCCTTGTGGCAACCTTCAGTGAGCACTTTTACTATAAGCACAACTTTTTTGAGATTAGCACCTGGCTACTCTGGCTCTGCTACCTCAAGTCAGCATTGAACCCACTGATCTACTACTGGAGGATTAAGAAATTCCATGATGCCTGCCTGGACATGATGCCTAAGTCCTTCAAGTTTCTGCCACGGCTTCCTGGTCACACAAGGCGGCGGATACGCCCCAGTGCTGTCTACGTGTGTGGGGAACATCGGACGGTGGTGTGAATATTGGAGCTGCCTGATATTTTGGATGATGGCTGTTCTTTATTGATTTTCTTTCACTTGACTTCTCCACTAACACTTTTTTTAAAAAATAGGGTTTGTATGTGCGTGTATGCAGTGTAAAGATAGAATGATAATTACGGACCTCTTACCAAGGATATACAATAGGAAAATGATCACACATGTTACCTCCAGGGTTTAGGACAAATCCTTGATTTAGGATGGAGAGAGAGTTTTTTTTTTTTCTTTGATGGACTTGTTTCTGTAGGAGGAATCAAGATTGTGCTTTTCAGAGCCTGCAGTCACAATGAATTGTGGGTGTGCTGTCTGCTGCTTAGGTGGTATTCTTAGTTGAGTTTATCCATTCTTCTCTTCTGGAAGACACTGCTGCTTTTTGCCATCACGTTGGAGCCAAAACCCCATACATCTCAGTTGATACATATTTAGTTTTATTTTAAAAAATAATCCAAGGGGTTAGTGACATATTTTAAAGGTCTTTACTATTTACTTTGGTGCACTTTAAGAAACAATGTACAAATTAATTCAGTCATGTTTTTCAGAATAGCTTTTATATGTGACATGGTGTGCTTTAGGAAACATGCATTATCATATCTAGGAAAATAACTTTTATGGTTTATCCACATGTACAGTTTTAAAGGAGAGAACAAAAAAATGTAGAAATTCTTCTAAGCACAATTGTAACTCTTCAGAGCAATAGGGTAACATTGAGGAGACAGAGTACCTTTCAAATTTAAAAGGGGCCAGGGTAGTGACTGGAGCAGGCTGTAGGGATTCCTTTTATTCAAGGATTCTTGCCAAGTGTAGCAGGGAGAGGGGGTTACCAATTATGGAAGCCACCATGTGCCAGGAATTGCGTCATTTTGTCCTCACAGCATCCTGTGGGATAGGTGTTACTTTTTCCTTTTTCCGGATGAAGAAAGCAAGTCTCAGAGGGACTACATTTCTGCCCAAGGTTAATGGAAGAACAGGGACCCAACGTGAGACTGTGCTGTTCTACTGTGCCATATAGCGCCTCTTTCAGTTTAGATGTTTCACAGTCAGATGGGAACTCTGTGAATCCTTTACCTTTATTTTTTTTTAGACTAAAACTTTCTTTTTAAAAATAATTACCTTTTCATTTTCAAAAGAAATATAAAACCATTATAGGACTTTGAAAAATTAAAAAAAATACTTAACCATCTTACAAAATAGAACTTTAAAATCTTAGATAAATAAGGCTAGAGAGAAAATAAAGTAATTTTTTAAATTTAATTTTTTAAGATATATTTAATTCCATTTGTTATTATTTTTTAATTTGATGAGAGAGAGAGAGCAAGTCGCCAGGTCTGGGACTTGAACCATGATCAGCCATGTGGGAATACAACACCTTTAACTACTGTACCACCTGCCAGCTCCTATGATTTAAACAAAAATTTTTTTTTTTTGGAGAGGTTTTTACTATAGGGTGCATGCGCTCGCCAGGCAGACAGAGACAGAGAGACAGAAAGCGAGAAATCACCCTCCCAGGGGGAATGGCTATGCCGTAATCCCTTCTCCTTAATTCTCCTCTTGGGATCTTGGGCACGCACGCACACGCGCCAGACATGAGTTTTAAGCCGCTGGGTCCGGGACTCGAATCGTGGTCAACTACGTGGGAGTCCAGCAATATAGCCATTACGCTAACTGCTGGTCCCAATTTTTTAAAATTTTAATTTGAGAAAGAAGTGGCCAACAATGACTGAGAAGCTGAATACAGCTGTATATATCTTCCCTGTGGGTTAAAGGTTTCCAGTTGTCCAGCTGTGTTGACCCGGATGTTCTGGGCAGAGGATCACTGCTGCTCTAACGCTTGCCATAGCAAAACTGGAGTTTGGAATGTGCTCAGAGGTGCCTCCTACAAAGAAGGGAAGATAATCCGTGATCTGAGCCTAGAGAAAGTTTTCAAAAGGCAGGTTTGAGGTTGCAAATTATTATTCTCTTATTGACTGTCTGTCCCCAGGTGCAATCAGGGCCTTTGATTGGCTTCTCTCTGTCACCACTTAGCACTTAGCCTACAGGAATGGGGTTGCAGACTAAGGTGATAAGAGCTGAAAATGTAGCCTCTTGGCCACATCATAAGCTAAATGAGTAAGTTAATCATGCATTTATAGCATTTGAATTTTCAGAATTTTTTTGCTTGGTAAGCCAGTGGAAAAAATAAGCCTCTATTTCCTCAATTGTAAAACCAGAGAATTGGATTAGATGAATCACTAAGATTTCTGTTGAATCCTAATGTGCTTTCCTCCCTGTGAGAGTACACATTTTTGAAGAGCTCTGCTGACTTGAGCATCACTCTTTGGTCTCCAGTGTTACTTCTTTACAACTTACTTCATTAGCCATTTTCTAGAATTGAGTGTCTGCAGAACTCGTGGCGTGGTTTCAAGAGGTTAGAACCTTCCAGTGAAGGTTGGTGACATCATGAAAGTCCTGGGAAACCCTGCTCCTCAGGCAGCTGCTATGGTGTTGGAGTTCATCGTCCAGTTGAGGAAGGCTTCTGGAACTCAAGCACATCTCTCAACATATTCGCATGTTGTTTTGGAATCATCTTCAGATGATAGTCACCTACCTCTTTAATTTCTAGTTTATATTAGTCACAGATAGAATTGTTTTTGCTCATAGGGATCTTGTAGGATATAAACACTGTATAGATACTGGGAGCACTCTGAATTGTATTATGCTTTCCATTTCAATATAAATTGGATTTCAAGCAGATCATAAGGATATTTGAAATAGACTTTCTCTGAAGAATGCCAGTATGAACTGTATTCATCTTAGGTAGGTCTTGAGACTCCTTTGTAGTTAGAGTTGAAGTCGAGCTTTGTTTTCTCTCTTCTTGTGCTATGAGCACTCTTAGATCTTTTATGCTGCTTGGTAGGTGCCTCATTTGGAGAGTGCTCTGGAGTGCCTGCTGAGATGCTGGTGTTTGTGAAAGAAGACGATGAGAGACCTTTGTGCGAATTCAGCAACAATACTGAACAGCGGTTCTTTTTACACTGGATAATCTTGATCAGATGACAGTTTACAAATCACGTTGAACTTTTAAAATTATGTATATATTTCAAAAGCTTTAAAAAAAAGTACCATGGTGCACCTTTGAGAAATGTAGGTGCAGAATCATATGTTGCCTATTTCACCCTGTATTTTCTTAAGGGGGGAAAAAAACCACTATTATATCACTGCTGAATGACTTACTCATACTTTTTTGTTTGTTTGTTTCATTTTTTCCTTCTGGATAATAAGTAAGAAGCATGGTAGAGATAATAAATATTTGTGGTCAAAAAAGTCAGGAGAAATAGTCAAAACAGTACAGAGTAATGATATTTAAACTTTATTATGTGGTTAAGTATCCCAGGGGAGCTTGTTAACAATACAGATTCCTCGGCCCCCAAGAGCAACTGTGGTTGGGCCCAGGAATGTCCATTTTTTGTTTTATTGAGCACTCTGCCTTGATTCTGTTCAGGTATTTCCTGGGTCACAGTTAAAGAAACACCACTACTGGAAATTCGTCCATCTAAATATTATCTATTTTATCCTAAAAAAAATTTTTGGAAGCCATTATTTTCTTGGCATGAGTAATCTTCTTTGAGAGAAAAATCTGTATATCATTGTGCCTAATTTGCTGCCATGTGTGTTAGTGCTGGTTCTTGCCAGAGTTAGCTTTACTTTCTTTCTTTTAACTTGCAAAATTTTGATAAACCATGTAAATTCACAGTGGAGCTAAGAGAGTGACTTAATAATTGAAAGTTATGACATTCAGAAGTCTAATTATGCTAATATTTTCTTTTCTCCTAGAGAGATGTCTTTAGTGTATATAATTTCCTGAAAAGTATGAGAGAAATGTAAAGACTCTTCTAATTCCCATTGCTCTATGCCAGTTGTGTTCCATGGAAGCATGAAGTAAAATAAAGTAACCTTTTTAATCTGTGTATTTCTGTTGCTGACAAAGATCTTTAATTTCATTTTTTCTTGATCTTTCATTTGTTTACGTGAAAATATTTATGTATATATCACTAAAGTTTTACTTGCTTGATGTTTTATTCCACCATGATTTTTAGTTTACATTTGAAGAACTGTTAAATTCAAGTTTATTTTCACAACCATAGTCCTGCTAAATTGCCTTTTTTGAAAGCTCAGTTTTTACAATAAGTAAAAATATCAGAGCACACGTTTGTTATTGCAGGAAAATGGGGATAAATTTCTTAGCTCTCTAAGGGTACTAGGTTTTTGTAACTAAAATTAATTTATTTTACAATAGTACCTGATCTATATGAAAAGTACACCTTGAATTTTGAATTGTATTATTGAACTATCAAAAAGTATGGTTATTTGTGCATATTCTTATTACAACCAAGAAAAACATTCCCAACAAGTAAATGAATAAATGTTTAACATTTCTGAAGTGGAGTTTTTTGTTCTGTTTTGTTTTGGTTTTCATTTTAAAGATTACTTCATCTCATCTTAGAAGTTTGTCACGGATAATACTTTCTATTAAATTAAAATTTGAGATTAGAGTAAATCCTGTTTCCTTTCTTATTTTCAAATTAGCTCTCAAAGCTGTGTGCTTGAAACTGTATTCTAGTTTTCAAAGTTCTCAGAGTAATTCTGAATGAAATAGGATATTTGGGGAAAAAAAGAGAACTCTTGGTGTTAAACAGTTTTAAGAAATTCTTTCTAGGAGGGTTGTAACAACTTTACTGCTGAGTCATTTAAAATTAATTTGAGGTTGGTAAAGCAGTAATGTCTGCTTCCATTTCAATGAAATGATATCATACTGCAATTGCATTTCTAAAATCTAAAGCTTTCCTAAAATCCATTTATAAATCCATAGAAAACATCATTTTATTTGTATATAAGGGTTCCGATTTTGTGCCAGTTACACATGAGGATTTTGTTTTCTGTTCTTTTTCACATGTATGCAATAGTTAAATATATTTCTTCTTCTTTCCAAGTTATAAAAGAGGGCTGATTTACAAAAGAAGACTTCCATTGAATCTATATTTGATGCTTCCATCTGAAATGAAAAGAAAAGATATAGTAAAATAGAATAACATGTTGAATCAAAAGCTATTCACATCTATTGTGAAAATAATGATCCTTACTCAACTCATCCATACTAAAGAGAACCCTAATGGAGCAACTTTTATCTCAGATATCAAGGTACAGTTAGTTAGATTCAGTGCAAAAAAAAAAAATTGAGACTGTATCAGTCAGAGTTTAACCAGAGAAGCGGAACTAGTAGGCAATATTTATTGGCGTCAATTGCAAGGAGTTAGCTTGCACAATTGTAGGCCTGGGTAGACAAGTTGGAAATCTAAAGGAGAGGCCTTTAGGAGGAGAAGACAGTAATTCTGAGTCACAGACTGAAGCTGCTGTCCACGAGTTTCTTCCTTGAGGAAGCCTCATTTCTGCTTTTAAGGCCTGTGAACTGATCATACAGACATTAATCACATCTACAAAATACCTTTAGAGCAACACCTAGATTAACCTGATGGAATAATTGGGGACCGTAGCCTAGCCAAATTGACTCATCAAAAGACCATCATAACAGTGATTTCCAAACTTGAAAAATAATAATATCCTCTCTGATGCTATAGGAGGTGTTCCAAGAATTCCATCCTACAAATATCAGTGCAGTGTAAGTAGGAATTGAATAAAGTGATGAAGGCTTGTCACAGGGGATGGGACACACATTCTGACTGCATTATATTCAAATTTACATACTCAAGGGGAACCATGTTTACCTCTGGTTTTCAGTTTATTTTGAAACTTCTCCAAAGGGAATAAGAGTCAGCCGATCAGATGACCAGGAGTAAATGACATACTCTCAATATAAGCTTTCATTATCTGCAATGTTTCTTCCAGGGAATTTGGAAGCATTTGTTTTAGTTATAAAAAATTAAGTCTAGGCATAGAAGTATAGTGGCCAGCTGGTGGTGCCGTGGTGATACAGTGCCCTGCAATGCTGGGCCCACATGTAAAAGTCTCGAGTTTGTGTCCCAGGGTCTTCCTGAGCATGCTGGGTGCACACGTGTG